TATTTATATATTCCAGGGACATATACATGTTACAGGATGCATGTATAAGGATATTGTAGCATTATCTTTAATAGCCAAAAATTATAATAATCCAAAGGTTCCTTGTATTAGTCAGCTTTCTTTTAGTAAAAAAAAAATACAACAGATAATCAACTTAAAAAGAAGAAAAATTTATTTTTTTTTCTTTTTCCTTCTGGTTTTCTGAGACAGGGTCTTGTAATATAGTCCAGGCTTGCCTGGAACTTGCAGCAATCCTCTGCCTCAACCTCTGGAGGGTTGGGATTACAGGTGTGCGCCACCACATCCGGCAGTTTGGTTGTCTTACGTGTGATCCAGTGACCAGGCTTCTAGTTATTTTTCCAAATGAACTGAAAATTTATATCCACACAAAAGCCTGCATGTGAATGTTAATAGTAACTTTATAACCACTAACCATTTGGAGCAACCAGTGCGTACTTCAGTAGGTAAATGGATAAACAAACTGGGGTAACCTATACAATGGAATATTATCCAATAATATTAAAAACAATAGAAAGAAATGAGCTTTCAAACCCTGGGAAGACACGGAGGAGGCTTAAATACTGCTAAGCAAAATAATCCAATGTGGGAAGGCAACAAACTGTATGATTCCAACTTTAGGACATTCTGGAAAAGACAAAACTATAGATATAAGGATGACACAAGATCGGTGGTTGCCAGGGATTTGGGTAGCAGGGAAAGAGTTAAGTAGGTGAAGCATGGATCATTGTTTAAGGCGGTGGAAATATCCTGGATGATACTACAATGGTGGACACGTAGCGTTGTACGCTTGTCAAAACCCGTAGAACTTTATGACATAGAGAGTGAACTTTACTGTACCTAAACTTTAAAAAAGTCATTTAAGGAGTTGAACAACCCAGGGTAGAATTCAGGACCTCACAGATTCACGGAAACCACACTGAAGAGAACGTGCATGAAAGGTGCTGACCTAAGTACTCTGGAAACGAGGCCAAAGGAAATGGGAATAGTGAGGAGGTGCTGTGACACAGTGGACACAGTTGTTTGCCAAGGCGATGTGGGTGAACAATCCCAGCACTACTACACACACATGCAAGGAAGGAGCAGTTACTTCAGGGGCAGGCGGCGGGAGCCAGCTGTCTGCTGTTGGAATGAGATAAGCAAGGGAGGAGCGATCCTGGGCATAGTGGACTAGGCTGGAGACGCAGGTATGAACTCCTGTTCAAGTTAACCTAAGGCAGACTGTTACCTACAGAAGTGTTTGTAGATGGCTGCATACGCACAGCTACGTGTTTTATCACCAGAGAGGCTCTGCAAGCGATGACGTCCTAGTAGCAACGAGCACACCTTGCACTCAGATCCAGGTTTCTAACCCCAGCCTCCCATGAAGGGGACCACGACCCCTTGGAGAAATGGCTGCTTCTAGAACTGGGTCAGGAATCGCACACCATGAGCCTGGAGAATCTTGCAAGGCGGAAAGTAAGGCAGTGCTCTACACCCTCCAAACTCCACAGTGATGGGATATGACCAAAAGCACAGGAGCCAACCAAAGGTCTCTCTGTGGTCAAAATGGGAACAATGTGAACAATTTTAACCATAAAGTATAAAATAAATAAACGTCCATGGGTCCGTGTTGCTATAAATAAATAAGTAAATAAGTTAGAATGGAGAAATAGCTCCTGCAGGAAAATCCTACATAATTTATGTACACAATCCCCCTTCAAGGCATATGAATAAAGGCTGGGTTTTGCTTAGTCATACACATATGACATTATATGTAGTTATCAGGCAATTTTTAGTTCAGATTGTTATCTGAGTGCCTCAGACAACCTCTCTCTCCTTTGTAGTTGATCTTTTTACTTAGAAATCAAATTCATTAGGGGCTGGGGATTTAGCTCACTGGCAAAGCGCCTGCCTGGCAAGCGCAAGGTGGTGAGTTCGGTTCCCGGTACTGGAGAAAAACCAAAAAAAAAAAAAAAAAAAAAAAAAAAAAAAAAAGAAATCAAATTCATTGAAATTGTATGTAGAGCAAGAATAGACAGCCACAAAGCAAAGTCCTGAAATATTTTCCGATAAACACTACTGTCACGGTTTAGATCTGGGCTGCCCCACAAAGCCTCCTGTGCTTGCAAGATGCGTTGGATTGTGGGGTGCTGCACTCATCAGCGCGTTGACCCACTGTTGCTCAGCTGGTGAGTGAGCAGGTAGGAGGCGGGGTCTGACCAGAAGAGCTGTGTCGCTGGGGACGTGGCCTCCCCTCCACAGCGGCCTGCTCCCTCTCTGCTTCCTGGCTGCCACAGGGTGAGCAGCTTCCCTCCACCACCGTGGTGTTTCGCCTGTGCACCTCCCAAGCACAGGCTGAGACCCCGAAATGGCGAGCCACGGTGAACCTTCCTTGAAGTTGTAGGCGTCACGCATTTTGTTCCAGCAATGAGAAAGTGGCTCCCTTTTGTAATTGATCTATTTAGAAAAGAAGTTTGTTGAAATTGTGTTTACAGTAAGAGTAAATAGGCCCAAAGTATTCGCCTGAAATTTTCTCCCACAAATGATACGCATTAACATATGGCATTTATGACAACTATTGGGCTTTTCATAGGACTTGAGGGGTAGAAGTCTTCATTCTCAGCTATGTAGAAGCCTAAAATAATCACAATTTGCATTTTTGAAGTACTTCTGGGTTTGGAAAGTGTGTCTCATACATTATTTCATTTGAATCTCACAGCAGTTCTGTCTAGTAGGCAGGGCAGGGACTTTGATCCTCATTTCTTAAATGAAGGGAGTGACATTCCGAAGAGTAACTGAGCAGCTCAAGTCACAGAGCTGCAAAGTGGCCGGATGACCAAGTTCCATACAGGTGAAGTGTGGCCACTCGCTTTAAAAATAACCAGGGTTTGGGGCTGGGGATTTAGCTCAGTGACACAGTGCCTGCCGGGCAAGCACAAGGTTGTGAGTTCGATGCCCAGTACTGGAAAAAAACAAAAAACAAAAAACAAAAAACAAAAAATAATAATAACCAGGGTTTAAAGCAAAGTCACATTCTCTTGAATATCTGCTTGAAGCTTCTGAGGTTTGGGGTTTGCTGTGGTCTTGGAAACACAGAGATGGACGTCCTGTTCAAGACAGCTAGGAAGGGTCTGATGCCCTTCGGTCTGCGAGGTGTGCAATCCTGAGCTCTTCCGGGGCAGAGAGACCCTGGCTCAGCCCTGTCTCGGGTCTGGAGAGGGCCCTCCTCCTGACGCGTGGTGCCCTCAGGCCTTCACCCTTCTGTAGGTACCTGGCATGAAGACGATGCGGGAAGTAAACTGCCCTGAAGGCCCAGGAGGAGGGGTGGGGCTTGGGGACACCTCCTTTCTATTTGGCTCCCTTAACTGGAGCCTGGTGCTCTGATCAGGGTCCTCCACCCCGTGGGGAGATCAGGATCCTCACAGCCCCTGGTGGACCCCCTTCCCGCGCTTACCTCCAGCCCCCTCCGTCCCTGAGGAGCAGTCTATACTGCGTTGATCTTCACAGAGGAGGTAGCTGAGGGGGCAGAGGTCCTGGAAGTCGTGGAATGTTCTCAATTTTGCGTTCCCTGAGGGAGCAGTGGGGACAGTGTTGAAGGAGAAACCTCTGTGACATTCACATTTAGCCCATTGATGAGGAGCCTCCTGTTAGTGACATGGAAACTAGGGATGGCGGAGGGACCCTCCTGCTGTTTCTGACCTTCTCGTGTATGTGCTTTGCTTGCACTGCTCCGGGTTAAGAAACTTAAACCTGATTTCCAATATTTAAACATTCACACATTTCATGCAAAGGTTGAGATAAAATCTGAATTATCCATTCTGTTTTTTTCCCTGGCACTGGAGATTGAGCCCAAGGCCTTTGCACTGAGCTACAGCCCCAGGACTTTTTTATTTTTTAAAACAAAAACTCACTAAGTTCCCAGGCTGGGTTTGAACACGCCATCCTCCTGCCTCAGGCTCCCAGAGTGCTGGACTTACAAGTGTGTACCACACTTGGCTACCCATTCACCCTGAAGTGGAGTGGGGACAGGTAAGGCACCATGGGCTGCAGTCCCCACCTTCCTGCTCCACCCCCTTCTGCTGTGTGCCCGCCGTCCCAACACCTGAGCTCCCCGGCCTGCGTTCAAGGGCTGCAGCCTGGAGCCAGGGCGCTGGCGGCTGTGGTCTTCACACCGGGCTCTGTCTGCCCTGATCCCTGAGGCCCGGAGGGCACTGCAGCCTGGGAGAACCTCAGCTCCTGCGGTGAGCAGAGCCTGCCTGCACCCTTCTCCCTGCTGGATGTGACGACGACGCTGCGGGCAGAATCAAAGTCTCTCAGCTCACTGAGACTGTGTAAGTGCGGCACCCTCTTGCTGTTGATTTGGTTGTCTTGACACATCTTGCCCGTTTATACTGAGTTCCCCTGCAGCTCGCTCTTTATCCACCTTCAGCAAGACAGGTTGGTGTTAGTACTGCTGACTCACCATGTTGGCTCAGATACCTGTGAGCATGTTAATCCCCAGACGCTGGGGCCACTGGGTGGGGCAGATTAGTAATCAGAGGTATCTGTTCTGCTTGGGCTAGGATTCTACCACCTATCAGCTGTGTGATCTTAGGTAAATTACTTGCCATCTCTGGGTCTGGTTTCCACCTATGTAAATGAGGTCACGCATGAAAAGGCCTTGGCTCTTAGGGGACATATAAACCATTTTGTGTTAGTTAGCAGGAGCTGGGGTGGTGGTGCATGCCTGTAATCCCAGTACTCAGAAGGCTGATGCAGGAAGATTGCCTTGAATTCAAGGCCAGCCTGGACTACATAGTGAGTTCAAGGCCAGCCTGCACTATAAAGTGAGACCCCGTCTCAACGCACCCCCCAAAAGTTAGCAAGTAGGTTTTCTTGTTTACCATGTAGAGAATTATTTGAGGACCTTAAAGGACGACTTCAGTTTTGAAGAGTTGCTGAATCATAGCCTTTTTACAAGGGTCTCCGCGCGCTGATTTCTGCAAAGAGGAGAAGGAAGCCACAGGGGAGAAGCTGGACTCCTGCCGTCTTGCTCAGTGCTCTCTCCACCCCGCTGTGCAGCCTGTTACGGCTGAGCGGACACCTAGGGTCGGAAGGTGATTTTACAGACGAGTTTCATTTGCTTGGACTCGAGAAGCGGAGATGCGGCTGCGGAGGCCAAATTTGGCTGCAGCCGGAGCCCTCGCAGGCAGGAGTCTGCACAGCTCCTTCGTGAGCATCTTCTGGCCGAGCAGGAAGGGCCCCTCCGGGTGCTGCAGTCCCCCTGCAGCCCTGGTCGGCACCCCCAGAGGAGGCCAGCGGGGCTCCAAAACTTCCGGAAAGGCCAGGACAGAGTCTGGTCCTGGTCCCGGTCCTGGCCCAGTGCCTCCGGGCACCCTAGCTTGTCTGCCGCCGGCTGCTGTGGCACGTTCTGTGCCCCTCCTGGGGCTGCTCCCGCTCACACTGCTGGGTTCCCCTCCCTTTACCTCTCAGGCGTCCATGCAGCGGGTATTCACTGGGCCCACCGCACTCACACGCTGGCCTGACTGCCCAGGCAGTGGAGCCAGGAGTGGCGAGGTCACAAAGCGGGGCCTGGACACGCCTCTGGTGTTCCCGCGCCGCCCTGAGCTGCGATGTCCAGCTGGGGCCTGGCGCAGCCCATCTGCTGGGGGCAGAGTGCAGGGACGCGGTGTGGGCGAAGGCGCTGTGTGAGGGGAGGCTGGAGGAACGTGGAAAATGGATGTGTGTGGCCGAGAGCTGCGGGAGAGGTCTCGTGTGGAGGGCATGAGAGTGGAGGCTGGGAGGATCCGGGGGAGGTCTCGTGTGGAGGGCATGAGAGTGGAGGCTGGGAGCATCCGGGGCCGCCAGCCCTTGGGGCCGATCAGAGGCATCCGGACTTGGCCTTGAGCGCACAGGAAGCTGGGATGACATTGGTAGGAAAGAGGCTGATGAGGCTTGTCTCATGAAATACCCACTCTGGGTGCTGGGTCGGAAAGAAGCTGGGAAGGGACGAGGAAGTGGACATGGCTACGATCAGTTCCAGGACTGCCTGTGACTGTCGTTTGTCTCCCACCCTTGAAGGTCCAGAAAATAGGCCGGCCCATGAGGTGGGGAGCTCGGGGACGGGATGTGTGAAGATCCTGCTCCTGTCGGGAAACCAGAATCTCCCTCGCCCAGCTCATCCAACTGAGGGCCCGGGCCTCGGTCTTCCCCGTGCTGAGGTGTCTTGTACCCCAGTCCTATGGGCAGGGGAGGGACGTCCATGCTGCCTTGGCTCCCTTGCAGGGAGTAGAGTCGGTGTGAAAAGTCCAGACTCTAGAGGCAGACCCCAGGGCTGAATTTCAGCTCTGCCCATCCCTGTGTCCTCAGGCACGCAAGGCCTCAGTTTCTGTATGTGTAAAATGGGCTGTAGAGAGGACTCAGTGAAGCAGGGCGCACTGAGGGCTGCAGGCGCCCGGCCCAAGGAAAGCACTCACTGGATGAGGGCAGTGGTGGTGGTCCGCACTGGTGAGGGCATTGCACAGCAAAGGGACATCAGTGACTGCTCCTGGGTGCGACGGACACTGTGACGCCAGCTGCCCAGTTCATACAGTTCCCTTTCCTAGAGGAGGCACACAGAGGCAGGGGCCTGGGACAGACACTTGAGGCAGGTGACCCACTCCGTTTCCGGTGGGTCAGATACCGATGTGTGCCCAAACTTTGGCCAGTCAGATTCTTGGGGATTTGGAGCCAGAGCTTTCACCAATCAATCCGACCTGGTCCCCTGAATAGAGGAGACATACACAGAAAAGGTGCATGTCAGTATGTGTGCGTGCACGTGTGCATGTGTGTGCATGCATGTTTTAGGGGGGGTGGGGGAAGCAGAAGGAGGGGAATGAAGCTTAGCCATGTTCTGTGCCAAGCTTTACACCTATTTGGGTTGAGGCTAAGTTCATTTAACAAATAAGGTGAGGGACTGCAAGGAGCAGAAGACACAGGCAGAGCTAGTCTGGACCTTGCTGGATGTGCGTGAGGCCTGGTCTCTGATCATCTCTCACCTAGATCATCTGATTCTATCATTTCAGAAAGGAGTGGCAAGACACAGGGAAGTGCTGTGCAACATTCACATATGGAGTGGTCCACAAATGTGACCTGAAAGGCAGCAACATTTTAAAAAGTAAAAAGCCGGGCGTGGTGGCGCACGCCTGTGATCCCAGCACTCGGGAGGCTGAGGCAGGAGGATCATTGTGAGTTCCAGACCAACCTGGGCTACAAAGTGAGCTCAAGGCCAGCCTGAACTGCATGGCAAGACCCTGTCTCAAAAAAAAAAAAAAAAATTAAAAAAAAACAAGCCTCAGGTCATGAGTTCAATTCCCAGTAAAAAAAAAAAAAAAAAAAAAAAAAAAAGTAAAAAGATACAGTATAATACAGCTCCAGGGGATTGTACGAGGCCAGAATTATGTTTGGTGCTGGTGTCAAATGTGGCTTAAATAAAATAGCACTGCATTTCTGTCATGTAAATGTCCAGGTAGGCCTTGAGGGCTCTCTGATGTAGCACTTCGTGATAACATTCAATCCAAGCTCTCTCTTGACCTTGTAGATCTACCAGGAATAAGCTTCATTTCCAAACTCTTTAACAGTCCAAGATGACTGTGCCAGCTCCAGCCTCCACATCCCAGCCAGCAGAAAAAGAAAAGAGAAGGAAAAATTGCCCATCCCCCATTTGATAGCAGTTCCGAGAAGTTATACATATGCAACTTTCCTTGTATCCCACTGGTTTGGTCACATGGCTCTACCTAGCTGCAAGAGAGGCTGAGAAATATAGCTTGTAGTCTAGGGGACCACGTGACTAATTAAAATTTGAGAGTTCTCTGATTAAGGAGAAGATGGGGGAATCAACCGGTAGTGTTGGTCTCAGGGATCAATGTATACTTTAACTGTGCAGATCAGAGTAGTAACCAGAAAGCTGATGTATTAAGGGACAACAGGACTGTAACAGCCAGCCAGGTGTAAGTGGCTGAGTGCGTGACCCTGCAGTCTTTTCCCAGCAGGACGGTTACACAGCTAGCACATGGGTGGATAGGGCAGTGATGGTCTGATAGATCCTTTTCCACTCCCAGGAATTAAAACATTCCTCCCAGCCTGGGGAAGCCTGCTTCCGAGGATGATGCTAGAGGCCTTGGACAGAGTCCCACCCTGACCCACTGTGCTCCCTGAGCTCATCATAGCTTCACACGTCCTGGCTCTGCTCCCATTTGTTATACTTCAGACATCGGCAGAGATGCAGACGCCATGCCAGTTCCTCGTTGCAGCCCTTGGCCATCCTGTAGTCTCCTCTGCAGAATGCATTCCCTTGGCACATCTTTACTGCGCACCTACTGTGTGCCAGGCAGGGCGCTGTGCCGGGAGTGAAGAGGAACGTAGCTCTGTCCTGAAAACAGTCATGACAGCTGAGTAGGGCGGGCGCTGACGGCAAGGGCTCTAAGGACAGAGATTCCCTGAGTGGGAGGAACGAGAGGCCCCCCGGGGCAAGGCTCAGCGAGTGCAGAGGCTCGGGAGACGCGGAGGATTGTGGGGTGCTGGGGAGCTGGAAGCAGCTCGGGGGAGCAGGAAGCAGATGATGTTGGAAGGGTGCTGTCGTGGGCACTGCCGTGCATTCCTGAGTATCCATTCTGGCTTGGCCACCATCTTCCTTGGAGCACTCACCCTCCTCGCACTTCCCATACACACAGGAGGAAGGTGATTCTGCCAGGCCCAAGGGTGAGGCAAAATAGCCCCAGTACAGATTAACCGTCTAATCTCTTCTTGTCTGAGGAGGCAAGTGACCCAGCCTTGCCTTGGCTGGCAGCTCTAGAGAAAGCAGCGCTCCCCCTTGCTCCTGTATTCCACGGAGCGTTGGTATGAGGCCAGGAATTGGAGGGGCCACTCTGCCACCATGAAAAAAGCCGGCCTGAGCATGAAGGCAGCACCCTGTACAGGACAGAGGAGACAACATCCAGGAGGAGGCAGGGGGCTTTGATAGGACTGCTGAACCACGGAGTCCCACCTACACTGAGCCTGCTCTGCCCTAAGGCCTTAGGTAGCTTTGGGTCACAGTGTGAGGCCCCCGACTTTATTCTGAGGTAAGGGGGCATCATGGAAGGTTTTCAAGGAGGGGAGTGAGCTGACCGGGCCTGAGTCGCAGGAAGTCACCTCAGGGTGCTGAGGCAGAGAGCTACACGAAGGCCTGAAGTGTGGGCCTGAGCTAGGACAGGCAAGGGCGGTGGAGTTGAAGGCACACAGAAGCTGCTTAATGGTGTGCACGAGGAAGAGGGTTTGCAGGGAAGAGCCTCATGCTCTTACCGACTGTGGAGATGCTTCCCCCTCTGCCCCTGCGAAATCATTCCTCCTCCGCCCTTTCCTACGCTCCTGTGGATTCCCGCCCCTCGATGTGCACAGCTGGTCCTCTGGAGCAGGGGTCACACCTCGCCACCATTTCATCCCTGGGGTTGAGCCTGGGGCATGGGTGGCGCAAGCTGGATGCCACCTTGGAGGCGGTTGACCGGGTACTGGTTTCCGCTGGGCTCGGTGTTGGCTGCACATGCCCCCCTCTTCCCCAGAGCTTAGTCATCTGTTTCAGAAGCAGCTTCCAAAAGCTGCAGACCCAGTACCCAGCTTCCTGGTTGTTGGCAGGTGCCAGGAGTCTGAATGCCAGGCGGCAGGGAGGCGGCCACTGGGAGCAGGCCTGGGCGGTGGGCCTCAGCCAGGTCAGAGGGTCATGGGCATTTGTGAGAGGTGCCTGTACGCCCTCGAAGCCCTCCCAGCAGCCCTCTGCAGGAAGCAGAGCCCAGCGCCCTTCCCTCCTTTCCTCTCGCAGGCTCTGCCTTGTGGCCAGCAGCACGTGACCAGCCTTCCTTGTCGTACGATAAATCGGTGTGGGCCACTTCCAGTCACTGCAGCCTGGCTCCCACCCCGTCCTTCCCATTGCTCCGGGCTGCATCCCTCGGGTCGCTTCCACAGAACAGTAACCCTTTAGCTCCGCCGTTCAGACGAGAGCCTGCGTCTTCCTCATACCTGTCCCCCAACTTCCTGTGTCCCTTCAAACTTTGTCCCGTGAGATGCCAGGTGTACTTGGCAGTGCTCCGGGACTGGTTGGCACTGGGGAACTGTGTTAACCCTTTACAGCTCTGGAGAGCACTCACCTTATTTTTTTTACCAGCAGCCTCCTCTGGGTATTGGGAGGCCCCTTCCTTCTCCAGCCCTGAGGTTTCCCTCATCAGGGCTCCAAGATGCCAAGGTTTCCCCTGGTCTGTTTCGTCATGGAAATTCCTGGCTCCCTGCTGGCCTGCGCCTCTCAGAAGGGCTCTGCTACTCCACTCTCATCCGCCCAGCCTTAGGTTGTTGTCCCTGTCGCCATGGCAGGGACTGAGGCTGGAGCCAGGGAAGGCGGGGCGGGAGGAGGAGCGAGCAGGAGACCGGGCAGCCTGGGAGGCTGATTGGAGGCCCTGGGACGGAGGAAGCCCGGAAAGAAAGAAACAGGCTGAGAGTGGCAGGGAAGCCAGAGGGATTTCTGTTCCACACTGGTCTATTTTGGTTTTGGTTTGTTACCGGGGGTGACGAGACATGCAGGGAGGGCCGAATCCCCCCCAGGGCAGAGTCACAGCTAAAGCAGTCCCTCCCCCATGCTCAGTGACCCGGAGGGGATCTTCAGATCCCAGATCCAATCAGTAAAACTCTCAAAATAGCTTCCACTTATTTCCACCTCACTTCGTGGACAAGCCTGCTCAGTCAGGGGGACAATGTGACCCAGGGCCACCCAAGTCCCGGCAAGAAAGATGCCCAGACCCAACCCACCACTCTCAACGTCGCCAGTATGTTGGTGGACTGGACATGGAGCCGCAGGCTGGTGCCCGGCACATGCATGGTGAAGGGCCCTGGCTGAGGGTGGGGACCTAAGGGGCCAGGCCCTAAGCTGGGGCTGCCTCTCCCCGTGCTGTCACCTGAGCAGTTGGGAAGTGCTCCACACACCTTCACTCAAACACTCCCATGCTCTGGGAGTCAGTGAAAGCTTTTCGCAGGTGTAGTCAGGGCAGAAGAAACAGCAGAGAGGCAATTTGGTGCCCTCTCAATCGTTTTTGGTTGTCTAGAAGTGAACGCTCCGTCATCGTGACAAATACCTAAGGAAAATCAGCCTCTCAGGAGGAAAGGTCTCCCTGGCCCATGTCCAAGGCCCACGTCCAAGGCCCACTGGCACTGTGTATTTGGGGCCTGTGGGGAGGCAGAGGAGCATGGCAAGGACTGTGGCAGAGCAAGCTTCTCCCCTCATGGCCGGGAAGCAAAGACAGAGAAGGGGCTGGGGGCCTGGGATCCCCTTCAAGGCCGTATCCCCGTGACCTAACTTCCTTCCTCAGACCTCATCTCCTAAAATTTCCATCCCCTATCAGTACCCATGCAGGCTGGTAACTAAGACTTTAGCACGCAGGATTTGGGGGCACACTGAAGGCTGAAACCCTAACCTCTAGCTTCAAAACCCCCATTCTGTGTCTGATGGCATCCCACCCAGTACTCACGTGTTTCTGAGAAACAGTAGGAAAATGAGCTCACATCCTAGTACCAAAGACAAAGGTGCTAAGAATGTGCAGCGGCAGATATCTCCGGGCACCTCCCCTGAGGTGCACTCTCCCTTTCTTCTCTAGCAAGAGAATCTCCAGTTTTAGCTAGGTACTTGACTACCCCTGTGAAAGACTTTATTTTCCAGACGCTTTTCTGCTAGCTGTGGCCAAGTGAACAAGTCTCAGCCACTGAGACGTATTATGCCGTTTTCAGGAAGTGGTTATACAGGGAGGGGGTCATCATTCTTGCCCCTTTTTCTTTCCTAATGGCTGGAATACACTTGATGGCAGACACTCAAGCAACCACATTTGTCCACAAGGCAGCGTGCAAGGTAGAGTTCCGAATTTCAGAGCAGCCTTGCATAACTGGCCTTTTTTTTTTTTTCACAGAAAAAAGTAAATTTCTACTTTGTCTTTGCCACAAGTATTTTGAGTTTTCTATCACATAGAGTAGAACCCAAGCCTGAATAGCACATGTGCCTTCACAGCTTCCTGTGAAGATAGGTAGGGCACATGACCAGACTCGTGCAAGACAGGCTCTTTGGCACTGGGTGCCCAGCAGTGGGGTGTGGAAGAGCAAGGCGAACTACTCAGTGCTTGGTGGCAGCACTGAGGCCTCGTGGGACCATTTTTAAAATTATTTTTGCTGCATGGGCTCAACCTTGTCCTCTATATTACCTGATGATCCCGAATCACCCAGTGTCCTACTAAACATTTCTTTTCTGCTTATATCTGCCAGGATGGGTCAGTAATGCACAGTTTTAGTCACTGTCAAGGATGCCTTTTAGGGGCTGGGGATTTAGCTCAGCAGCACATCGCCTGCCTGGCAAGCGCAAGGTCATGAGTTTGATTCCTGGTACCAGAAAACAAACAAACAAACAAACAAACAAAAAGATGCCTTTTAGAGGCAGGTGTGGTGGTGCACGTGGGCAATCCCAGCACTTGGGAGGCTGAGGTAGGAGGATCGCCTTGAATTCGAGGCCAGCCTGGACTACATAGTGAGTTCAAGGTCAGCCTGGAATACCCAGCGAGACACTGTCTCAAAAAAGCATGCTTTTTCATAGTAAGTTCCCCAAGATGGTTAGCTCTGCGTCAAAGCCACCCGCTGACTAATCTGTCAACTGAAACTCAGCGTGAGGCACGAGTTCCATTTGAAAGTCAGAATTTTATAACACCTTTGTCTCTAAAGATGTTTCTGGCAAGGGCACAGTTGGGTTCTTTAGAATATTTGGTGTCTCTTGTCGTAGGGATATGCGCCATCTGCTAGTAGAAGCCATCCTATTTTGAGGGGCTGGTGGCAACCAGAATTAAACACAGATCTAATTACATTAATCCAAAGTTCAGTTAGAGGTATGTTCAAAGGACAGCAGCTTTCCATGTATGCTGAGGTCATTTATACAGCACCACAGCTCTTCAGAAAACCATCAGGAACTAGAGAGGGGATAAAACTCAAAGCAAGCAAAGAAACAACATCCTCAAAGAAAGCAAAACACAAAAAGGTTGTTCACAGCCGAAGTCGGTATCACAGAATTCACTAGAGTTTACACACTTGCTCGAGAGCCAGTCATTCCGACCTCCTTCGGAGCCATTTGCTCTGGGTGTCCACCCCGGTTCCATGGAGGACAGACTGAGGACTGCCCCCCAGGGCAGACTGGAGGGGTCCTTTCTGAAGTGGAGAGGGCATAGTTGCTGTGGTCTGAACTCTGCTAGGGGGAAGACCCTCGTTAGTTTGAGCTAAAGTCAGACAAATCTAGGACAAGTAGACGAGATTGCCCAGTGCCTGGGCCCACTCAGTGGGACAGTCATTGCTCTGTTACCGCTCAGTTCTGGCCTGGGGGAGAGAGTGTTCAAAAAACTGCTGGCATCATGAAAAACAAGTGCGCTGGCTTAGATCTAGAATGTGCCCCCAGACCCTCATGCTCAGAGATGGGGCTTTTGAAAGGCATTTGGATCAACCTCCCGAGTGCTGGAATTACAGGCGTGCGCCACCATGCCCGGCAAGAATGTATATCCTGATGTTGGGTGGAACACTCTGTAAAGGTCTGCTAAATCCATTTGTTCACAAGTTTGCTTTAGTTCTGTCATTTCTTTGCTGATTTTTTGTCTAGTTGATTTATTTCTTTGTGACAGTGGGATGTTAAAGTCCCCTGTTATGATTGTGTTACAGCTTATTTCATTTTTTATGTCTGTTAAAATCTGTCTTATATAGTTGGGTGCTCCTGTATTTGGTGCATAGATGTTTATGATTATTATCTCTTCCTCTTGCAGTTTTCCCCTCACAAGTATGTACTGACCTTCTTTATATCTCTCGATCATTTTTGATTTGAAGTTCACATTGTGTGCGAACAGAATAGCTACCCCTGCTTTTTTCTGGGTTCCTGTCACATAGAGTATTGTTTTCTATCCTCTGACTTTCAGTGAATGAATTTCCTTTTGAGGAAAATGTAAGAGTTTGTGTCTCAGTTTCCCTGGGAGCTAGCAGTGACCATCTGACACAATGCCATTAAGAATATGCTGGGGGATTCTGCACTCCTGCTCTCTGGCTGGCCCCTCGTGGTACCCTTGGGTTCTGGTCAGGAATGCAGAATCTCAGGTCCCATCTCCCCTTCTGACTCAGAATCTACACAGGAGCAAGATGCCTGGCACTCTGGAAGCCCGGTCCAGCATGAGGAGCTTAAGACCCAGACCTGGGGCCAGATTCTCATTTACAATTTTAGGAAAACCTATTTTTTTGTGATACTGGGGATTGATCCCAGGGCCTGCACACAAGCTACATCCCCGGCATTTTTTTTTTTTTTTTTTTTTTTTTGAGAAAAGATCTCACTAAATCACTAAGTTGCCCATGCTGAGCTCAGACTTGTGATCCTCCTGCCTAAGCCTACCAGAGCGCTTCCCTTTTCGACAGTCCCAAGGTGGATGCTCCAGGGTGCAGCAGAAAATGCTCAGGGAAAAGTCCATTCATTCATTCATTCATTCATTCAAGAGATGTTAGGAGGAATATGAAATTGCCATTTTATGGTCAAGTTTTGTCAGTTTGGTATAGCCTAGCTTTTAATATGTCTTGAGCTCCTATTGTGTGCCAGATACAAAGCTAGGTACTGGAGATATGACGGTGGGTTCAAGCAGCCTCAGATCCTGCCCTCATAGAGCTCACAGCCTACCAAGAGTTGCTGATTTTTAAAAAACTCCACACACAGAGATGCAAAGTTATCGGTGTGGTGAGAGCTGTGTGATGGAAACCTCTGGTGTATGGAGCACGCAGGAGCTGGCCGATGTCGGGCTGGGGATGGTAAGAAACGTTCTCCTGGAGAGGGGAGGAGAGGAAGCGGCAAAGAGATAAGATGGGAGCGGTGAGAAGTTAAGCAGACCGAGAGGGATGACGGTGAGGAGCCACAAGGAGGGAGAGACTCCCCAGTCTGGGTCCCCCTCCTTACCTTGGTGGCTGGGAGGCAGCTGCAGTTGGCCACAGTGCCACTGCCCTGCTGTGCAGGCCTGTCTGCTTCTCACAGTCGCCGTGTTCAAAGAGCTGCGGGGCTGGGGCTCCCCCATGGGAAGGGAGAGGCAGAGCGTGGGTTAATGGTCCTGCCAGTCAAATGCACTCCTGCCCCATCTGTGTGCCTGGATTTTGATGCTTTCTTCTTGCATAGGTTTCGGAGGGGACTTCTGTCAGCTCCCAGAGTACCCGCCCTGATGGCCCTCTGCTGGCTTTTGCACATGCCCTTCCTACTGTCTGGCATGGGCAGTCTGCCTGCCGCTCTCCAGATGCCTGCTTACTCCAGGCGTTGCCAGCATCTGTCC